CCTTAGAATTCTGCCTACCACAAGCAATCAAAGCAAAGAGCTTCCCACTGATAAAGTTTTATCCAGAGACAATATAAAACCTTAAATACAGACGAATGAATAAACTACATATCCTTCAGATCATCCTCAAATAGTATTGTACCTTTTGATAAAATTGGACAATAAACAGTTTGAAATTATAATCTCAGATAAAAGTTTGAAGCCTAATTTGCTCATTAAAGTTCAATTATTGTGGAACAATCCTTCTGGTACTTTGTTTCAGCTGGTGTATCACAAAGAGAAGCCAATTACTAACTGCCTCTACCATTTCACGGTATCAAGGACAATGCCCATTCCATGGGTCACTGCAGCAACTCACATTCACCTACATAATTTCTAGAAACACCCAGACCAACTATCGATATAAATAAGACTTTCATATGTTCTGTCATATGATTCTAAAGAAGGCTTAAAAAAAAAAAAAAAAAAAAAGGACAAGAACACATTCTTTAAAGCCAAAACCTTGGTTGCTGAACTAAAAATAATAAGAATACAATTCTGAATAGCAGCACTGACAATGCTAAAAAGTGAATTAGTAAATTTGAAGGCAAACAAACATATGGGGAAAATGTCAGAGGTAAAACTGTGAAGAAAATAGGCAAGAGACATGGAGGACATGTATTTTTCTAGGCTATATACCAGCAGGTTATAGCAGAGACCAGCTAGCTATCCCAAGCCTATTTCCTCTTCCTCCTGGTCACACAGATAGACTGTACTTCCAAGCCTCACTTGCAGTGTGTAAGCTATGGCCAATGTAATGTTGGCAGAGTGATATGTATCACTTACAAGCCTGGTCCATAATAAACCTCCAAGCATTATTTTTACTCTCTTTTCCCTACTGCTTTAACTGTGGAAGCCACAGGTTGAAGTGGTAAAGCCACAAGTTGGAAGAGTCCTGGATCCTTGAAGAGCGACCCTACCAGAACATCCATTTGCACTTTACATGAGTTAAAACTAAAACTTCTATGGTGAGATTTTGGAGCTTAGCTATAACAGCAGGCAGTTTTAAGAAAAACAGGAATTGGTATTGGAAGAACGGTGTTGTCATAACAAAAAAACTTAAATGGCATTAGTTTAAAGATCAGGCAGTAGGTAGCAAGAATATATATTTCACAAGTTGAAAGCCTGGAGAGCCCTGTAATAATGTGACAGAACAATTGGGAAAACTGAAACCTGTAATAAATGAAAAGGCACACCATGTGCCTACTGTAGCTCTACAAGTGAACGGACGGTCATAATCACAGTGTATTCTGGCATTTACTTTCTGCTTTTAGAAAACCATAGAAAAGAAACTTACTCACTTGCAAACTGAACTTAAGGGAACAGAAGTCCAGAAACTCAGGCCTCAGAGGGTTATACAGCTAAACACATATAAATCCTAAACAGTAAGAGAAAAGAAAGGTAAAGGTTTGAGGAAGAAAGTCCCAAGACTTCTAGTTGAACAAAGGACTAAATCCTGAGGCAAAGATCAGATTCAGGTATGGTATTCCCACACATTATTTCATAGAGCCTCAAAACAGAGCCATTAAGGTAAGAAGGCAACATGAGGCAAGGACTATGCTACCTCACCTCCACTACCTCCCCAAACAAGGGAGAGAGAAAAAGTCCTGAAAATTATATTTAGAAAAGAATACTGGGTGTGATGTCCACATAGAACCTGTTGGAAAGAAATAGATCAAAGGCCTACAAAGTTTTGAGTTAACTATAATGCCAAAAACCCATAAATCTGGACTAAATAAATCTTTGGTCATAGCCTTAAAACAACTTTCAGGCCCCTAAACTTGCAGGAACAGACAGCAGGCAGAGGAAGGAAGGAAGTTAGGAAGGAGGGGAGAGAAGGAAGAAGAGAGGGAGGGAGGAAGAGAGGGGGGGTGGAAGTTAGTTGTAGATATAAATGTAGATGTACAGAGAGAGAAAAATCGTCTTCCAAAAGGATCACATGTCTTGCTATGAGGCAGAGATATTGTGTATTTCCCATTACCCCCTTGCTACATGGGAGTTTTTGTTGCAGTTATTCTAGTTTTGCTACTCCCCAGCATTGACTTCAAAAGTGTAGGTAGAAAAAAAAGACAAAGGGAAATCAGGGTGCAGCCAGGAGCCCCCAAAAGCAATGGGCAAGGAGTCAATGTCTAAGCACGAAGTTCCCCACTACCAAGGCAGAAGGATTTCCCAGTGCCCAAAAGGATCACATGTCTTGCTATGAGGCAGAGATACTGTGTATTTCCCATTACCCCCTTGCTACATGGGAGTTTTTGTTGCAGTTATTCTAGTTTTGCTACTTCCTAGTATACTGCAGGTAGGAGGGGACACAGATCCAAATAACTTGTCATTCTAGTTCCTGGTCACCAGCCCTTGAAGAGACATATATGGATCTGATGGAGAATGCTGAGCATCTCTGGAAGACGCTAGACTTTGAGATGGATATAATGACTGGGGAGGATGCTGGGTTGCCCCTCTTAGGGAAAGGGAAAGTGTATTCTATGGATGAAAGGAAGAGTGAAGAGATATTTGATAACCAGAGGGTAGACCGTCCTTCTCCTCTTAGAAACAGTGAGATAACCTTTCCCAGCCTCCCTTGCAGGTCAGTATGGCCATATAATTAAGTTCTAGCCAATGAAATATGAGTAGAAGTGATAATATGCTGCATCCATGCCTAGCCCTTAAAATCACTCCCAATGTAACACCCCTCGGTCTCTCCCCTTCTGCAGCAATCTTCAAAGCCATATTAAAGATGGCACAGGAAACATAATGGAAAGAGTCCCTAAATCACCACTGTGAATACAACCATCAGGAACACAATTTGGGCCTTGACATAAGTGAGAAATAAACCATTTCTTCTCCTTTTCCAACATCCATGAATTCAAACAAAAATTTACTGAACACTATCTACAAAGTATAGGTATTTTCTCTCTCACCTACTTTCCTTGCCTTTTAGGTATTATAGAAGATTTAAAAATGTGTATATATAATATCTTTATTCAAGGATCTTATATGTACTATAGCACAGGATAATAACATATGCAAACAAAGCTAGAGTGAGATGACATTTTTATTGCAGGAATGAAGGGTTATCAGTTAATTAAAAGTCCTGAATTCACAAAAGGTCTCTTCATTATTTCTTTATATGACAAAAAATATAGCTAACAGCTAACAGTTTATACAGATACAGTGCCACAGTAGACAAATTCACCTCAATCTAACCTGAATTCTACTACAGGATCTGACTTTTACAAGTTGTCTGAGCTTGAGTAAGTCACTTCTCTACCCTGGGTCTTAATTTCTACAGATAAATAAGGTACCAAATAATCTCACATTGAATGAAATAACAGTCTTCGTGGAATTCTCTCTTTCACCAAAAAGGAAATAAAGTTCATTTCTCAAGTAGATGCCTAGGAAAAGAAACATTTAAAAAGGAAGCTTCCACAGTGGCTTTGTCCTATACTCTCCTACATTTTGAAAGTTTAGGAAAAATTAATCAACTACAATACTTATCTTACAAAATACTTTAATTACTATACTCAAAACATCATCCAGGCCCTGGCTGCTGTGGCTCAGTTGGTTAGAGTGCCGTCCCATGCACCGAAGGGTGGCAGGTTCGATTCCCTGTCCAGGCAGATACCCAGGTTGTGGGCGCATACAGGAGGCAGTTGATCAATGTTTCTCCCTCCCCCCCCCTTTCACTCTCTCTAAAAATCAATGGAAAAAAATATTCTCAGATGAG